AGTATCACAATGAGCAGAACATGATAGCTCATGTCTGTAATCCCAGGACTGAGAGGCTGAGGCAGGAGGATTGCAAGTTTAAACACAGTCTTGCTTATTTACTGACTTAGTGAGACCCTATCTCAAAATAAACAATTTTTTAAAAAGAACCAAGGATGTAGCTCGGTGTGAAGACCCTAGCTTCAATACCCAGTGAAGGAATCTGACCACTACTGTCCTGGTCTGAGCACAGACCATCTTAAATCCCTTCCCCCTGCTATGTTTTCACAACTGCTGCAGATGTACGGTCATGGGTGGATAAGGCTCAGTAAGCCCAGCTGCATCCTATAACTCCCAGTCATTGTTCAGCCCAGCTCCTGACAACATGCAAATCTTTGTAGGTCTCTCAAGCCCTGTTTCTGGGTACATAGCCACAACTCCTTTTGCACAGAACTCTCCCCCTCGAAAGTCCCATTGTGATGTTTTCCTCCCACAGCCCCCTTTTTTATGCTCATGACCCTATAAAGACCATATTGCCTGTATGAGAGTTAGCCGGCCTGGTCTCTAGTGCCAGAGTGGTCCCTCTCAGGTTCGTTCTCAAATAAAGCTGTTTGATTGAGCTTGTATCCTTCCTTGCAATAGGACTGCTTGCAATAGGACTCAACCTATAAAAACAACTGGATTCTATTCACTTTTTAAAGAATGGTGGTATTAAAAACCCCACATATAGAGACTAGCTTGGGCTATAAAGTGAGCTCAAGGCCAGCCTGAAGTGCACAGCAAGACCCTGTCTCAAAAAGACAAAAAAATTTAAAAAAAAACAAAAAACAGAAAACCCCACATAGCTTCATTCAACAAGATGGTAGGAATTCACCAGTGGTTGTTATATTGCATATTGTTGTCTTCAAATTAGTTGTTCAGATTGCCAGATATAAGCATGCAAAAAAACCCCACATAACGTAAAAATTTACCATCTTAATCATTTTTAGTGGACAGTTCAGTAAGGCTAAGCATTTTCAGACTGTTGTGTAACAAACCTCCATAACTTTTTCATTTTGCAAACCTGAAACTACCCACTGAACAGCTAGCTCCCTGTTCCCTTGTCCCTACAAGCCCTGATAAGCATCATCTGACTTTCTGCTTCTATGAATTTGACTACTTCAGAAAACTCAGATAACTAGAATCTTAGGGTATTCAACTTTTTCTTTTTGGTATTCATCACACCCATGTTCTAGCATGGGCCAGGATTTCCTTCTTTTTCAAGGATAAAATAACAACAACAACAATAGTAATACAGTAATCAAATTTGGTCTATCCATTCACCTATTGATAGCCTCTTGGCCATTGTAAACATAATAATAATATAAATCATAAATAATGCTGCTATGAACATAGGTGTGCAAGCACCTCTTTGAGACCCTGCTTCCATTCTTTTAGATTATATACCCAGAAGTGAAACTGCTAGACCATATGGTATCTCTATTTTTCTTTGGAGGAGATGGTATATAGTTTTCCATAATAACTGCATGTACATTCACTTTTGTTATCTAGCCTCTTCCACTTAAAAAATACTCTGAGCATTTTGCAGATCATTAATATTATTTTCATATGATGCAATTTTTATTGACTGCATAGGATTCCATCTATCACTTGCTTAAGTAATTTCCCACAAAGAGATGGTTATTATAGCTTTTCACTATTATAAGTGATAC